TTAAAATGGCATGCAAAACATATAAATATAAATTTAATTTAAAAGAAAGATTAGAAAAGTGTGTTATTTCGAATTGCTTTCAAAAAAGAAATTCCAATAATAATTTTAAACTTTTTCAATTTCCTAAGCGAAAAAATATTTTGAATATTTGACTTTCTAATTGTAATCTGAAACAAGAAAAAATAAATTCATATGTAATAAGCATTTTAATTCAGATTGCATTGGAACTAAATATTTGAAAAAAAATACAATTCCAACTATTTTTGACTGGGAGCCTAAATATAGGGAGATTCCTGAAAATTTATTGAGTTTTCCTAACACTAAATTAAAAAAATATTGTGCCAAGGAATGTACTAGCTCTAATAGGACCCATAAAATATTTAAATTCCCCACCGATTTCACTTTAAAGCAAACTTGGTTAGAAAACTGTGAATTTAATTCAAGTTTTTCCACTCAAAATAAATATATATGCTCCAAACATTTTAAAGTAACAGATATTTTAAAACTAAAAACTTAGAAATAAAGCAGTACCCTTACTTAATCTATTCAATCCAAAGTTTATTTTTAAATTTAACGACGAAGACAATGATTTAATTAAAAAGAAATATCCAACTTTGTACCACTTTCGATTTCATGAAAACTGTCGAAAGATTCTACTATTTTATATATTACAGTTCACATTATAAACGTTTCACGTAAATGATAATTATTGTAATAAAAATTTACATAATTTTCGTAATATATTCATATAATATACATTAACATATACATATATAATTATGATATATACATATTTCTATAATGGCACAAATTTTTGTCTTTTTAAAATTTCAAATCAAAAATTTTATTTTATTCATAAACCTATAATATCAAACACCATATAATATTAAGAAAGAAATTATGCATTCAGTATGTTTATACATTCATACATACCTACTTATATGTTCATAATATTTTGATTGATCTTTATTTGTATTGTATACCTACGTACATACATTTAAATGATCATAAAAAAAAAATCAAGATATCGTAAATAAAATCATTGTTCAATTGAGAAACGATATTCTTTGTTTTTCGTTTTTTCTTTTTTCTACGTTCATATTTTTTCATATACACCAAGATTCTGGTACCTAGTTTTCATGTTTGAATTTTTTCCATTTGTTCGGCTTGAATATTCTTCAATTACTTATTTTTCTATGATATTAACCATTTGGATTATTATTATGCCTCTTAAATATACATTCATACAATATACATAGTTCAACTAACGTACAAAGGTATGTAATATTTCTTCCCTATAGTTTTACTTATTTTTGAGTCATTTGCCTTTACATAGAAGAAGTAAATAATAACTATACATGGTTGCTATTTAAATACGAGTATAAAATAAAAATACTTTTGGTCAATGAATGAGTCACACGGGTAATATTGTAAAAACATTTTTAGTTCTTTTTCGCGTGTAATAAAGTGTTTAAGAAAAAAAAAATTTAAGCGCAAAAATTTTTTATACTTTACCTCTTAGGAATAATTTTTTATATATAATTCAAATTTTCCATACATAAGCACTTGGAATATATAATACAGTAGAATCCAGATAAAAGGAAAATATGGATGAGAGACAACATCCTTGGAAAAGAGGAGAAAAATAATTAATTTAGGCATTTAATAAAATTTTAACACAATTTTTTCCCCTTACTCCATTTGGGAGCATTATGACCTTCCATTTGACTAGATAGCCGAGATTTGTTTTGCAAGTCATTGAATTAAGTAGGTGATGACGAGCTTAGTTAAGTTATACAATATCAAGTATAATTTTTATTGTGACCTGACCAGAACTTGAACCCGAGCTCCTTCGGTTAAAGGACCGGTTTCATAATCACTACAACATTGGCCAGAAATTTTAACAAATATAATAAATTAAAATTTTTTTAACTCAAAACTAATATTAATAAAGGTATAAAAATTAAACTCAATTTATTTTTAATTTGAATATTTCACATATTTTTCCTCAGTGTACCGGAATTGGCACGAATTTTAAATTTGCGTAGAAGGGAAGTTATTCACAAATCAATAATTCAAAAAGTTTTATTACGTTATCTGATGCAACATAGAATATTGTGCCAATATTGATACACTGAGAAAAAAAGTGAGACGATATGTGAGTCTTTTTTCAAAAAAAAAAATTAAAATTGCGTTTCTCAGTTCGTTAAACTATTACTTATGCAGCTAATGCAATTTAATATCAAATATTTGAGAATTCTGAGTTCATTTTGGTAAATTAATTATTTTAATTGGTAATATTAAGTTAATTAAGGCAGGACTTTAGATAGGCTAGGCAGACTCTAAATTCTCATTAAAATGTTTATCATTTTAAAATTATTATTTTGTTGTTCAAAATTTTTTTAATTTTATTCCAAATCACTTAAACATTCACATTATATATATACTCACTCTTAATTATATATAGTTATTTAACGAAATACAAAAAAAAATTGTATTTGACTCCTATAATATAGAAATAAAATGCTAATTCTGCTAGTCTACACAAGTATTTTTAAGATCATGTTAGAGTATGACATAATAATTCAGTGAATAATTAATTTTTCTTAAATATACGAGTGATTCATTTCATAATATGCACAGTTTTAAAATAATCTTAGAACACATACTATACACTTGAGATTTTTTTTTTTTTGCGAACTCTTGGCATTTTCTATACTTAATATTAAAAATTGTAAAAATCACTTTGTTTTTGTGTCGTCCTCCTATTTTTTTTTCTATATGGAAAAAGCTCATGTTGTCTGAGAAATCAATATAAGTATATATACGCAGAAGATGTGCAAAATTCATTTTATAAGTTATTGGATTTTATAAAATAAAAAAAAAATCATTTTTTAAAACAATAAATTAAAAATTATAATTTCCTCCCATAAAGTATCATTATAGGGGGCAGAAAATATTTTATTATAAGAGTGCAGCGATGTGTTTTTTATATGTACTTGTACAAAACAAGAATGTCATATTGTCAGATTAAGGCATTTTATTGATTTTATATCCTGACATAGAAATTGTTAAGTATTTTACAACAACTAAATAATGATGGCATTGGTTACGGATTTATTGATTGAAAATTTCATTCTTACAATATATTTGTTTTATTTAAAAACAACTAAGTAAATACTTATAATAAATAATAATTTATTGAAGAAACATGTGAACTCTTAAATGTATACTTATACAAGCAATAATTATTTAAGGAAAATTGATTGAGCTTCGCCACATATGCTTCGCCTCTGACATTCACCAAATAAGATACTAAACATATGTGTTGGGCAAGATTTTCTCAGTCTTAAATTATTTTCACTTTTCAATTAATTTGGAATTTAAATTTTTAATTGAGAGGAAATGTGCTTATCAAAAACTTCAAATTCGGTTTAAACTTATTTGTATAATAAGTAAATATGAAAGTAAAGTTTTCTCTCAGGTTCCCAAATGATTTTAAAACCTAATTAAATACATATTGAATAAATTGCTCAAATTTTTCAAATTAAGTTGCTTTCATTCAATTCAATTTATGTGAAGTTTGTATTAATTTATAATCAGGTGAGAAAAATCAATTCTACAAAACAAATTATAAGTATAGTGGAAATTGCTTTAGTTGATTAATTTCAATTTTTTTAAGTATTTTGTTAACGAAATTCATAAAGCATATGCGTATACATACTTACATATGTATATGAATACGAATAATTACTTTACCTGACCTGCTTTAATTAAATATTGAAAATATAAGAAAAATTTTATGTTAATAATGACCAGTGTAATTGTTAAGATCTTCGTATAAGACTTATTTAAACCATGCAAATAATTATTTTCATTCCTTCCAGGCTATAAAAATTAGAAGTACTTAATTTTTAGCAATTCATGTATTTAAAACTATAAGCTTGATAAAATTTGGATAAAGGTATAGAATTTAATACAAGTGCCATTTTGTTAGAAAATATAATGTTAATACTAATTAACCATATAAGTGCCAGGGGCCTAGATATAGTGCTAATGTAAGTAGTGATGGGAATCATAAGGGTTCAGTTACCTACGAGAAAAAGAAATCGGCATAAATATTTGCATCGCTATGAATAATGCTTTTTTTAATTATAGACTCCTTCCAATATGCAATTATGGAACAAATTTTGAAGTTTAGAAAAATAAACAGAACGGGGTTTTTACAAATTTCAAGTTATTTAAATAAAGTGTACTTCGCACACCATATTGCTTCGGCTCGAATTCATTTCAGAAAACTTAGATAATTTTTGATAATTAATGATTTTTTTTCACTTATTTTAATTAAACGAATTATTCGATTACCCCCCACATTATAAACTCTTTAAAATTAAATTTACTTAAATGACGTATAAATTTAATTACACAACAACTTTTTTTATACAAAATTTAAAACTCCACACATTATTTGGCCTTTGGCAAATGACATATTTAGCAATTAATCAAATATGCTTATCTATACACACTTTTTGTAATACTTAGGTGTATTGAAAAACCTCCTACATTGGCAACACTAATTTAAAAGAAATTTTTGTCTTTTTTTTTTTATTTTTATCTATAAACTTAGATGAACTTATTCCCATAAAAATTTTTCATAACAAGACAATTGGTGGTGATCTTGTTTACCTTATAAATAAAGTTGTGAATTTAATTAAAAAATTTAATTTTTGTGTTGGTTTGCCTATATTTATAAACATTTATATGAACATACAAACATACAATATACGCCGGGTTTAATAATGAAAATTTTTACTTTTTTACGCTTTAAATAATAATTTCATTATAAATTACAATAAAAATAAATGATTTTTATGTATGCATGGTAAATATTTGTGTGTGCGTGTATTTGCAATTGTATAAAATTATTTATTTTTAAATTTTTTAAATAATATTATTCTGTTTTTTAATTTTAATTTATTTTTTTTTTTATTTTTTTGCAGAAATACCTCAACTTCAACTTCAACATCAACAACAATAATAAAACAGCAACCAAAAAAATCAACAACAACAACAACAGCAGCAATAACAGATAAACAGAATACCATTACAAGTGATAATAGAATAACCAGTAATAATATATTAACAACTATTACCCATATGGAAGAGAATACCGTTGGTGGTGATCAAAATAATGTTAAACCAACACAAAATAGAAATTCACAAAATATACAACAACAACAACAAAAACAGCAAATGAATAATGAAAATACGATTAATAATACTATAGAGAATAGTAAAATGAATGGAAAAATATCACGAAACCAGAATGAAATATCACCTGGTGGAACCCTTCCAAATGCTAGTAATAATATTGGCATAACGAATAACAGCGCGAAAACCGATAATAAAAGTAAGTTTGAATTTGTTTATGTTTGTGTTTTTTTTTTTTTAATTTACTCAGGTTTTTTACTATTATTGTTATTATTATTTTCATTTACGTTTCTCTTGTTTTCAAGAATAATAACAAAAAAGAAAAAAAAACTAAAATCAAAATGTGTTGCAAGGTAATTCACATTTTTTTTTTGTTTTTCGGTTGTTTTTGTGGAAAATAAAAGTTAGTCTTTGAGATTATAGACCGAAATGGTATAAGTTGTAAGAGTATGTCTGAATGTCTAAATATACAGTAAAACTCGTTTATAATAGACTTGATTTTACTCTTCATTTTGCTTTTTATAAAAGAAAGTTAAAAATAAATGATCAGTGCTAGCTTAAACTTAAAACTTAAAAAAATATTCAAAATTTACCTAAATCTCACTAATTGTTGAAAATTTAAATTCAAATTCACACACAAATCCAGATAGTTATTTTTTATGTATGTAGCTGTTTGTCGAATTTGTTGAACTTATATCTTTAGGTAATTTCTTTGTCTGATATGAGATACAACTGCGTGTAGTAAAATAATAGTAGTATGGTCAAAAATTCTGAGTTGGAAAATTTCAATTAAAAACGCAGATGTTTAGTAATATAAATTTTTGTTTTTATACTAATAATTTAATTTGCACGTATATTTATTATCCTATAACGCATAACCTTGATATTATATTTTGAACCTATAAGAAATTTTCTTTAAAAAAATGATAAAATCAGTGCATTGGAACCGCTCACTCCCTTTTATTTGAAATGCAACGGTATGGCACGTATTTAATACTAACACTTCAGGGACTGTAAATTCCTGAACGTAACGAAAATTTATAATATATGAACTTATATTTATGGACTCTAACACTTGATGCGTGTGATAAGCAATGACACAATTATAGTTTTACTGTTATAATTTCTCTTATATGACAGTTTTTTATAAGTAGATTTTACTGTGTATGCATGTAAAACAATTTTTTTTTTTTATTAAAATCTGAAATAGTTTTAAGATAAGAATATAAGGCTATGGTATTTTTATATTGCCATCTTCGAATATTGCGTTTGTGTTATAAATTTTGAATTTTAAATTTAAATAGAACTGATAACTTTCAAAAGCATAGAAACTAAAATACATGCTTTTTTTATTTTTATGGAAAATCTTCTAATAAAAAAATAAATAAATTATTTTTTAGAAAAAGAAAGTTTTTCAATAGGTTAAGAAGTTTGCTAATACAAGTTTTTTTTTTTTTATTGGAATTTTATTAAGTATTAATGTATTAAGTATTAATATAAATGTATAGCTTACAATGTAAATGTGCCTAAGTAATAACAGCTCAATCATTCTTTTATTATATAATTAGTCTGTCCATTTCTTTAAATTCTGAATAGCATTGTAATTCTAATTCATTGTGATAATGGCAAAAAACTGTGAGCTGTCACCTTAAATCCTAGTTATTTTGATTTTTATGTTAGTAAGAGCGTACTTTCTAGTAAATTCAGTTACGTCTCTGTAGATTATGTATGTATACTTGTACAATAGATTGTTAAATAAATGAATAATTTATAATTTTTGATTATGACAGCTAATTCATCCAAGTAATAAATACGAATAAAAACACTCTAAATTTTATCGACTCTTTAACATTCCCTTTCCTTATTTGTTTAAAATATAATGACTTTGACTAATTTTCTAGTTCTGTACAATTTATTAACAGTCTCATTTATACAATTTCAGTTTTTTATTACATTTAATGCTTAAATCTATAAGCAGCAACAATCTGGTACAACAAAACATTCGATACACAAACCCATTTAGCATGCGATAAATTCAACTTGTGCAATTTCAGAGCAAATATTATAACATTTCTTAAGTTCCAACAATTTTATTAATTTTCTAAAAACTATACTTTCACTTTAATGTTACTCTTTAACCTACGTCTAACTATATCAAACCTGAATGTCTGAAATCTTCATGCAACAAATTTCTTTAAATAATATTAATTACCAACAAGCCCACCATATTTTTATCAATTTATACTTGCATATAATAAAAATTTCATACAAATTTTAGCGCCCAATTTCTACTAGCCTCAAAAAGAAAAATGTTATATATCCAACAAAGCACATCAAATATTCAACATTTAAAAATTATGCTAAAATATTCATTAATACATCAATGTGTGTGTTCTTATTGCTCCCAACGTAATTCTTACTCTAAAATATAATTAATTACTATTAATTAATTAATCTTAATTATACTTGTAATTTATATAATTATCTAGTATTCATTGTAGACAAATTCTTGAAGCACAATTTAACTTAATTATATTTTATTATAATTGTATACATACATATACTTTATTTATTTATTAAGATTAAATTATCATAATATTTACTGTATATTATACATAGATTCTTCAAAGATGTTTTCCTGCCGTGTGTTACACACACTTGATTTATATGTGTACACATAAAACGATTACATAAAGAATAAATTTACTTTTAAAATGAGAAAAAATAAAAATAAGAAAAGGCAAAACTATCTAACTTAAAGATTAATTTAACTTAATCACGTTTAATTGTTAGTAGAACTCACTTTTATTTTTATCTTAATATAAAATTCATAAGTATAATTTGTTATTTGAGAATAAAATAAATTAAAATATTTTTATTGCATTGTAAATCATTGTGAATGTGTTAAAAAAAAGTAAACTACTAAGACAGATTACGCTTAAGAATGCCAACGGTAAATGCATTTTTAACGTAAGCACAAAAAAAAAATAATTCAAAATACGAAAAAAATATTTGAAAAACGAGAAAATATGGACCCTTGTCAATCCTAAGATATCTCTTCAAATATTTTCCACAAATTATACCACATTTGACGAAATACCGTGTAGTATATCACTCCTTTTCACAATTTTTTTTTCCTGTAAAATTGAACATTAAGTAGCTTGAAAGTGTAGCTTTCATGACAAAATCGTTTTCGAAGTTTTATATTGACATATTGCAACAATTTATACAAATAAAATTTCATTGACAAAGTGGTGTCTTTATTAAGACCCGTTTATCCAAAATTTGATTCTCTACCCGGTAACAGTAAATCATTTTCGTACCTCTGCTTCAATTGAATTCCAATTATATAACAGTTATGCCATAGTTGAAAATGTTTATTTGTAGCAAAAAAATCCAAAAAAATTCAACAACAGGAACTTTTATGTAAAATTCATTGTAATTCAATAAAAATCTTAAATTTTCGTTTTCTTACCAAAATAAGGTTCTTAAAAAAATGTGAACTGTTTTCAAGCCCTTCATATTCAAATATTGTCACTTTAAAGCTTCTATCTTTTTCTGAACTGAAAATATCTCGCACACCCTTAAGATTTGCCATCCACTTCGGAACAAAAATTTTACTCATTTTTTCGATCTACTTACTAATAACGCTATACTTTGTTGTATAACAACCCTCTAAATCACCCTAGGTATCACATATATTTATTAGTCAGCGTTACAAACGAAATATTAAATTTTTAATAGTCTTCTAACGTTCTCTTTAGTACAGGTAAAACAAGAAAGGAAAAAAATATCAAATGTGTCTCGCATATTTTAAAAGTGACGCGACTGCATTCACTATTTTGTATTTTTTGATTTCTTTTTCTCATTTTTTTTTCTTCTTTTTACCAGTCTCACTCAATTTAAAAAAAAATAAAATAAAAAAATAATGCACATGTTTAACCTCAGTTTCTTTTTGAAAGTGCACACTCCACTTTATTTAAAAAATAATTATAGTTAGTTTAGTTAAATCGTACCGTTAAATTTATTTACTAAATTTAAAAAAAAAAAGTTTATATTTTAATGTCAAGATTAAAACGAATTTTTTTTTGGTTTATTTTTTCAATTTGTTGTCTAATTTGAAAGAAAAACGGAAAACTGGATTAATTAATTCATTTTTTTAATTAAATTATTAATTTTTTTTTTTATTTTTATTTTATTCGTATAGAAACGGTAAATATTTTTTATAAATACTGGCAATGTACAATTTGATAAAAGAAATCTCACGTAGGTCCTTATTAGCAAATAAAATTTTTACACCAGTTTTTATTAATTGGTGTTTTTATTAATTAAGTTTTTGACCGAATTGCACAATAATATAAAAATCTTTTCTCCTTCTTTGTATGAAGCAGTTGAAAAGGTGTTAGTAAGTAAGAGTGCAAGTATCGAAATTATTTGATTTTCTAATTGAATTGAGTTCTTTCGAAAATTTTGAAGACTTTCACTTTCAGAGAATTTAAATTAAATTTATGATGTGCACATTTAATTAACTATAATACCATACAAAATATATAGACTTTACTTAATAATAAACTTCTAATTTAAAACATTTGAAAATCAATAAATTTGTTCAATTAGGTATTCACATAATTGTTTACATTTGAAGTGAGAACACGTTCTTTAAAAATTATTGAAAATATATAATGAAAATATACTTTTAAATATTATGTAGGTGTCATATACAATTAACCTTTATTCATTAAATGAAAACCAATGTTTAAAACTCTAACCAAATTTGAACTGTTGTCAGCCAAAGTTCTAGGTTTTCTCCCTTTGTTATAGGAACCTGAAATGAAAGAAGACTGTGTTTATACTCAATTTGCAATTGAAATGCTTACCAAAGCTTATGTGACGTTTCAATATTTAAAAATAAATTCGTTTGATTTAGATTTAGTTTGGTAATTTTCTTTAATGGCTGCAAGTTGTCTTACAGGTACATGTATAACATTAAGGAAATACTATATTCAAATACAAGTGTGAGACTAATTTTAACCGTAAAATTTGTTTAGTTTCGAAAAGACAGGATTTGATCTGTTTTTGAAATAAAAAATTAACACTGTATAAAAATATTTCTCTATAGAAAAAGTTGGGACCAACCCAAACCAGAACTTGAGCTTGGACTCAATTTCGAACCGAAACCTATAAAAATACCAATTAAGT